CGCAACCGGTTTGGAACTCATCAATTGGGCGTACTACCGAATGCTGAGCAAATCTACCCCTGATTTGGACAGCAATTTTCATAGATGTTTAACTTTGAGTTTGTAAGCAGAATGACACTGCTGGAACTGAAGATACGATGGGGTCCCTCATTGTTGACGATCTAACGATACTTTCCCGTATGACCGTCATTATCCAAATAAAAGTCCACGTGATTTAAGGGCTCGTGTAGTACCATTGGTCAAACAAACGTCTATCCAAATAAAAACCATTTGTCAGGTGTTTTCTCAGTCCATGTACACTTTCTGATGAAAGTAACCACGAGTCATATTTTCGGTAATCTAGGGTTCACAATTTCGTGTTCGTGTGTTCTCAATGCCTTTGAGTAATCAACAACTCAGGTGAATAAAATAAAATAAATCCTAATATGAAGCAAGAAAAAACGCTACATTTGAAGAATCACACCCTGATCCTAGTTAATACTGGAATATGCGGGTCTCTTGAGGTGCACTGTCAATGCATGGAGTTCAGTCTGGTGCTTGGCGACAATACCATCCCTCAGGTTGCAAAAACTGATACCATTCAATGGCTAGTACCCGAATGATTTTCTTCGGTTGACAGTAGCCAATCTGTTAAAAGCATGAGCATAGCGAAATAGCCACAGATATTTTGGGTTCATCTTAGATGTTTTATTCAGGCTTCCGGCACCGGTTCAGCCCTAATGGAAGAAGATAGGTGGGCTTTTAGCTGGGTGAGCTAGTCTGTTTATGGCAGCCTGTCTGTTTGGTACCACTGTTCTCGTTTGATTACACAGTTTAATCAGCCTCAAGAATGTTTCTTGTCCGAATGGCCGCGATTTGCTCTGATGAGGGATTTATTTTGAACTCCTCGTGAAGGCGGATAAAATAAGAGTGTTTTAGAAATATTTATACCTCAGACAAATTGTGACACCCGTAAACGAAAACCTAGAGTCAATCGTCGTTATTACGCTTGAGAAGGTCGGAGTTTCGAGCAGCCATCCCCAACGAAAGTACACGGATAAAAGATATATGCAGGTATTTGAGAGTAGCAAACGGGCATATTAATCTTGCGAATGCGGAATTGCCTTGGAACCCTGCTTTACCCTGATACCTACTTTGAATTCGCTTAAGGTGGTTAAGTAGTTTCACACTCGAGACTTTCGTGGCAGTATAATTGACTTTGATGAGTTTGACAAACCTTTATGAACAGTCAGGCATTCGTGGCAAGATTCACTGTGAAAAAGACCTCTGTGAGATCCACAAACGGTCCTTGTAATAGTTTATTCCATTCCTGACAATATTCTGGAGTTATCTTGCGATCTGAAATTTATACTGCTCCGCTAGTACATTTTCCTTCAAAATTACAAAATGACTACTGAAAAGCATACGGGTTATACTCTTTCCTACTGCTCATAGGGGAAACTCCTCCATAATTATCGATCTTCTGTCGACTTCCTGTCGTTCATACAGAGCAGTTATCTTTGCATCATTTCACGCCTTCCGGAACATCCGTCACGTACGCATCACGTATCGCAGTGTGAGTATTTTATCGAGCAAGCCGTCCAAGCCTGCTCGTAATCGAGGTTACTGAAAATAAGAATAGTAATAATGAATAACAATAATGGTTGCAGTAAGTCTAGGTAGATAGAAATCATCAGACCAAATGATTCTCTTCGGTGCACGTTCAATTGTTTTTCTTGCATCAATACGTTTCATAGCGAACAGGGTACAAAACAAATATTTAAGGCAAATCATTTTGCAATAACACCAACTTATGTCAAGTAATGACCACGGAATTAGGCCGCAGCATTCCAAAGAAATGAGGTCAAACAGGAACGCAGAGAGAACGGTCAGATAACATGTGCAAAATATGTGCACTGTAGTCTGGGATAAAAGCAGAGATTTCATAAAACAATGCTGCATACAAAATCACGTCTTGGCATTGATTCTAAGGACTGACATCTTAACTATTTGACCAACAAAATCAGGGATTTTTCAAGCACTACATACTAGAATACATAAGGAAACCATGACCTGAATTACAAATTGAATCATATTCGACAACCGGGCACCAACATCGTTTGTCTCAAATGGACAAGCTGCGCTTCGGCACGACTGAAATTTCAGGACAGACAATAATTTGAAAACCAAATTACCCTGCTGTTTTAATGCATGCTGGCTTGAAAAATTGAAATGTCTGAGATATAGACGGGAGAATCATGCCCGCAACAACAGCCTACGAATAAAAAAGAGATTCTTTAGTGGGAGCGCTTTCATTTCGAAAAGTTATCATACTAGTCAGCTTTTACAGACTCCCCTGAGTTGGCCTCCCTCAGAAATACCTGGCCGGATAATTTGTGCTTCCAAGTACTATTCAATGCTGGTATCTGGATGTATTGCAGATGCAGACCGTGAAACTGGTTGGCTGATATCTTAGACAGGATCAGATTGGTGGGACGTGATTTGCATTTGCTCTTTCGTCAACAAGAACAACCTTTTATCTGCAAGAAAAGTGAGTCCAAAGGAACAAAAGACAGGCAGAACGATGAATATTTGAAAAGAAAGCTCTATGCTAAATTTTTGGAATTCTTTATTATGCATGCCAGAACATGCAACAATATAAAACGCAGTTTTTGCGTCCACCACGAATGTTGGCATTCTTTTTCTACAAATATGTCATGGCTAACAAAAAATTTTAAACCTTCATTATTCAGCTGGCTAATTTTACAGTCGATTTGTTGGTGTGTTGCATGGAATGCGGAATTATTTATATGTTTGACAGGCAGTGTCTTGAAGGAAAGCGTTGGACCAAGTTTCCGCCCGAATTTGGCAGTCATGGTTGACCAGAGTTTGCCGTGTTTTGTGCAAAGGTGATAACGATTTTCTAGCGCAAAGAAGTGATACAACAAACGCCTGATAAAATAACAAATAAAGTAATTTGCATAGTTTGACATAAAACCCTATAAAGCATTGCATATTCGCACTCACAGTATATGCTTTGTTTACGAATTATGCAGAAGTTAGATTTTGTAACAACCAGACAAATCCGATTCATCGAACGTCTGCCTGGGTTCCATAGTTTTCTTCTGCGCGCAGAATCCGCTCCATTCACATTACTTTGTCTCTAAAGGAGTTTTAAACGTCACTGAAAATGCAAAACTTCCGAAATAACGTAGCTTTTATCAGCTTGTTACATGCTTGAAAACACGAATGGTGTGGTACTCTAAAGACGAAGTTACAAATATTTTATGTAGTATCCTCTTCATGATGGCGAAAATGTCTTCAAAAAACTATTCAGCCACCACGGCTGTGTAGAATTGCAAAGGGTAACAAAAATTTAATCTCACTGATGTTAACAGCCGATACTTAGATATAGATTTTTCACAGAGTTTTAACTTTGTACATTAAATGCGACAATAGCTCAATGCAAACTTACGGCGGACTCAAAGACTTTCGATCCTCAATTCCCTTCTTTAGACCGGCCTCACAAAACGGGGAACCCGAGGTAAAACGAGGAAGTTTATGAGATTCTCAAGCAGAATTTTGAGGTGTTCCAACGTAAATGTTTCCGAAGTGCTAAATTTATCCGTCAAATATAAAATGCTCCAGCCTTCAGTTGAACATTTAAGCTGAAGTCAGTCCTAATCACCAGTCAGCATCGGATATCCATACAAGAAGTGAAAACATTTTGCAGTTGTTTTAATATTTAGATACACTGAATCAGAGAATTCGATACTTATTCACCGTGTGTTTGATTACTGGAAATTTAAGAACACCTAATTTGAGGTGTATAGATCAGGATTTTTTGGCACGGAACCGATCACAGAGTGCCAATCCTGAAGGCGGCTCCATACAATTGACCACTTGACGTATTGGCGTATGTTTACCATACTCATCATTGATTAAAATCGTGACACTTTTGTAATGCAAGAGATCCCTTGATAAAACAGAAGACTTTTTGTTCAAAACTTTTTGTGGGTGCTTCACTTTTTGTGATTCCCTTCTTTAGACCGGCCTCACAAAACGGGGAACCCGAGGTAAAACGAGGAAGTTTATGAGATTCTCAAGCAGAATTTTGAGGTGTTCCAACGTAAATGTTTCCGAAGTGCTAAATTTATCCGTCAAATATAAAATGCTCCAGCCTTCAGTTGAACATTTAAGCTGAAGTCAGTCCTAATCACCAGTCAGCATCGGATATCCATACAAGAAGTGAAAACATTTTGCAGTTGTTTTAATATTTAGATACACTGAATCAGAGAATTCGATACTTATTCACCGTGTGTTTGATTACTGGAAATTTAAGAACACCTAATTTGAGGTGTATAGATCAGGATTTTTTGGCACGGAACCGATCACAGAGTGCCAATCCTGAAGGCGGCTCCATACAATTGACCACTTGACGTATTGGCGTATGTTTACCATACTCATCATTGATTAAAATAGTGACACTTTTGTAATGCAAGAGATCCCTTGATAAAACAGAAGACTTTTTTGTTCAAAACTTTTTGTGGGTGCTTTAATTCACTTTTTGTGCATTGTAACTGTGCAAACTTATTTGTAAAACTAGTCAATTGGTTCGGTTGATGCGCTATTAATTGCCAGATTTATTGAAAAATCTGGATAGCAAACGTTGTTTGTGCATGAGCCGTAGATCTATCAACAACCATCAATCAGCCAAAAAACCTTCAGTATTCCCCCAATTATAACTACCACTTTTGTCCCCAAACTCTAAGCCACTGCCAGAAAATCAATGCACAATCACATGAAAAATTTGGTAATGAGCTGATAAAGAGTGATACTCTCAGTATTGGCTATTTTTTTTTATGAAAATCTGTGTGCGTTTTGCCATGAATGTTTCTTTGCCGTAAGTAAATTATATTGAGGGTTTCCAAATTTGATGCAATATTTATAGTATTTCACGCACTTGAGCTAACGGACACGAAGGAACCAAACAAGCTAAGAGATTCCTGCACAGATCTTACCTGCTGGGGGACCATTTTATCCTCACATTCTTTGATGGAATTTCCCTCACCGACGGTAATAGAACACAATTGATTGGCTGGTTCCATTAGGTCTAAATAGAGTGCAGTCATAAAGAGGCAGGAAAGCATTCTTAATTCCATACAAGTACCTAGACCATATTAGGATATCAGTGAACTACCTGGATCAAATTTGTCATGCCCAAATCCCAGCATTGTGACTGTGCTTTTGTGGTCTGCAGTCAACATTAGAATTCAACACTTTTCAACTAGATTGTCTAGTTGTATTATATCATCCTAGCAGGCTAAAGAGAGTTGTAGTGAACACGGTTAGCGGAGAACTGTGGGCATCCCACAATGATCCATTTAAAAGCCAACAGAGCGATGCAGCATGCTATTTACAAGTCCGACCCAAGCGGGAATTTTGTCATTTCGATAAAAGGCGGTAATTCTGTGGCTACAGTAAGATATATTTCATACCACAACCGGCCCGAAACTTGTGATTATCATGATGCAATCACTAAAATTGAATTCATCGGTATGAGAGAGAAGAATGTTTTTCATGCCATGCTGAATTTATTCCCCCGCAAAAGTGATTCTCTTACAGAGCATACTGTGGAATAATTTAACCACAATCCGGTTATTCTTTCATAGAAAGCTTGGTTTCCGTTTGTGAATCACATTTTGTCAACAGATTTTTATACGACGGTCATTTAGCATGTGCGTTATTTGCAGCCGTCAAACTGTACTAAGAATCCTTACTGTGATACTCACTCTCTTAGCGCATACCACGTTTCGTTTCCCACTTACTTTTGTTCACTCTCCAGTGGGGCTAAGCTTGTGGATTTATAAATTTAAAACTTTCCGTGATACGTCCTTCTGTATTCCCTATCAGTAATTTGGAAATGCATTCTTTCATCTGATTCCATCTGTTATCCATGTGGTGATTTGAATGTCTGGTCACGCAAAGAAAATAACTTGTATTTCGTGAGTTCCTATTGTACCTGGGCCGAAACGTAACGCTTAAAATAAAATAATACAAAAACAACCAACCGCATCAAAGTTAATAGTATCACTTTTGTAAGCTGAGTAGAGCTCAGGTAATGTGCATCTACTACTTTATACAGGTAGGTATGTTCCCGTAGCATTGGTGTCTTACGTGAGTATATCGGTATAGGTTTGACTTCTTGTGAACCATAGCTTATAAAACCTCAGTCAGGCATATGAAAATGTTTATCCCCCAATTCTTTGTAAGAAATAAGACAGTCACGTAGACAAACGGGACGCAAAGAACGACGTTTGCAAATAAGAACCACAGGCTAATGGCTCATCTACCTAACAAACTTTTGACGGAAAATCAAAGAAAGTATTTCAAAGAGTTGACTGGTCTCCGTCGGGGAATTAAGCACTGGAATACAATATGGTCCGTAGCACCCATGATGCTGAAATTTTTGCTTGGTTTCCGCCAGTTCCTCAAGGTGTGGGCGAACCAGACTCAGTGGAACGGAACATTCATCATTGTCCCCCAAAGTCAATGTCAGTAAAAATTCAGCAATCCGTTTCAGTTATTTTAATCTAACTGGGAATGGCCGAGATTGCGCGACCTCCTGTCTAATGTTACCACATTAAGCCAGTTCTCCACAACTGGCTGATGGGCAGTGTGATTAACTCGCAGCTAGACAAGATTTTAGTCTTGATTCTAACGCCTGACTTGAGTTCATCCGTTTGCGCTAACCTAGGCTCGAAGTAGTGAAACACTCCATCGGGTGAGTTGCTTGATTTAGAAACGTTAGGTAGTTTTAAAAAAAATCGCCAATGTTGAGATCAAGATAAAATGGCTCCTTCAGAGAGTTTTGTTGTTAAGGAAACTGAGAAGTGGAGAATCTATGTTAGAAACAGAATCGTTGCACCTGATCGTGACGCAGTTTGTAAAACACTTAGAGGAACCAGGCTCGCTTTTTATTGTCGTGTTCACATTATTAATGTTCATCGTCCCAAGGAACTCTTTTGATGAAGTTGAGGTCACTTTTGATTCTCTATCTGTGGAAATTGCGAAAGATTATACTGCGCACTGAGTTGTTCAGCCACTACGGTGCCTCAAAATGTATCTGACTATAATCCACGCTTAACGTGCAAATGGGAACGAACGCAGACAATGGGGCTGAAAATTTGCAAGAGCATTTTTTTCGATCGTGGTCTGAAAAAAGCGCAGATTTCTGCTCTCAAAATGAGCAAAGATGCGTTGCAGCCTGCAAAGTTAGTGATTTAATATTTAGACTGTCTAAGTGTCCATCCTTCTGAGCTTAGTTCACTGCTAAAAAAAGGGTGGGATGTACGAAAATCAGTGATATGAACAGGTTCTCTTAGTACCACTAGGGCCAACTTTGCCAATCTTTAGAAATCAGTTTTGCAAATATAATTTATGATAGATAATTGGACTTTGTTTTTTCCTGTGCTTATTTGGATTTTGTAGAGAGGGCCTAGAATTTTAGACCGCAGAGGTTTTTATGGTGACGTCAGCCCACATTTAACCAGCTCGAATATTCCAAGACCTACATTGGTGACCAAAAATTTCTGACACACTGAGGTCCATATTATACAAACGCATATTAATAGACAAAGCCATTATTTGCGGTCAATTAGGTTACGCTGGGTTGAAAAGCTGGAGTGGGAAGAAAACAACCAATGCCACTGAACTTTTGAAATAGTCTGATCTAGGCTTTAGTGGTATCAACCTAAACCTTCACACCAAAAATAACTATTCTGCTTGATGCGCGCTTGCTTAACACCAAGATAAGTTTATCTCACGTTGTTTTTATCTGGTAAATGGTTGCAATGACGAGTCTAATGGAAATTGGCTTAGGACCCGAGTACCTACGGAAGGTCCAGATAACGATCCAACATTGGGAAATCCCGGATTGAATGTACATTGGAAGGCGAAGTTAAATGTGTTAATAGAAGGATTACTGACAGAACGATGAACTGCCTGAAGCATGTGAACTTGTAGTGATCAAGGTAGTCGGTTCACTTAAGTGCCTGGGACAGACAAGGATAAGTGACATTCTGTGCAAAGACTGATTACTGCCAGTGTCAGTCACAGTGGCAACACCAGTGAATATGTATAGTGTTTGGGAACTTTACACACCTGGTAAGCCTCAAGAAGGGCGAAGCCGGTCGTGGGCTGTCGAAGGGTTTAAACAGCCCCATTAGCGAATATACATCCTTGTTAACTTATGAACAACAAATAGTAGTATGCTCCGCTTCAACTCTTGTTTCACTTCATTTTTGCAAGCGATATAAAATTTCCAAATCTTGAAAACATCCCCGATGGTTAAGTGAAAGCTCGTACTTGAAATTGTGTGCCTGGTATCATATGGCTTCAGTGCATGCCCTCTATTCTCCTCGAGAGAGTACTGATTCCGATGCGGCCGGATCATGGGACATCGATTGTAATGATCATTTCCGCTACGATACTCATTATTTTCAAACGTCATCATGTGTTGACGAGTCACTTTGACGCTGATTTTAGTCCATTCTATTTTATTCTGAGCACACTATACAGGCATCATTCAGTCAGTTTAAGTGCTAAATGTGCTTAATGCCTTAGTTATTTGAGGACTGCCGCATTTGCAAATTGTGTTTAGCCAAACCGGTACCGAACACGAGCAAACGTAAGCTAAGCCCTTCGAGGTGATAGAAATTATGCTTGGACGCAATGCGAAAATCTGAGGAAACATTTTGTGTGTAAAGAATAAAGGCTCAAGAGTATGGCATCTACTGGACAGACAATATGGCCTATTAACTACCGTTATTTCGTTTGGTGTTTGGCGTGTAGAGACGATTATCAAGTGCAAAATCCATTAAGACTGACTGGATGTAAGATTGAGGTCTATCGGTGGCTTTCAAAGCGAGTCAAAACGTGATAGTGAGATGCCAGATTTTTTTCGTTACCAGCAAAACTTAATGTACACTTTAAAACTGCAAGAGATTGTGAGCAGCACTAATCAAACAACCTTATCCGTTTCGGCTGACTGCATAGTAAATTGTTCATGATAATGTCTCTGAAAGACGAGTAAGCCCAAGATCCGTCTGACTGTTTCCACAACTAGTGAATAATAGAGACCAACATCCCGTGGGTCATTACTTCAGGCCTGTTCGGTATGTTTCCTAGTGAACCACCGGATGTGTATTATTCATGTAAAGCTTGAATGCGGAGAAACACTGAGACGCCTCTCATATATTTCAAGGCTCCTTACTGAGGTAGACGGTCCACCACAGAAATTTACGTGAGCAGACTGAGTGACAGGTTCCGGCACTAGGGTAATGTGCGTCACAAAATAACTCGTCTATCTCGATTAATAAAACATTGGGTTTCTCCCTATATAATCAGCCGGGAATGGGTAGAACCTTCGCGACTAAGCTTGGACAAGATGGCTCAGGAGCACAACACTCTGACATACGCAAGAAGAGGCATGTTAGGAGAGAGAAACTTACTCAGATTCGGGGAATTTCGATCAAAAATCCGCGCTGCGGTGATCAAGAAATGCTAAAGATTATGCTCTTAATTTAAGGAACACATGAAAATCTTTTCTACGTAGTTTATGATAGCGTCAGTCTTTCGTCTACAAAGATAATTTTCTAAACGTCTTACTAAACGATAATTTATACATGTGGACCCAGACTACGCGAACATAGCACTGTCCGGAGACTAGTTTTGACACATATTTTAGTGCGAACTTGAAGGACCAATCATTCAACGAAAATTTAGGAAGAAAACTGTTTCATGCTTCTTCAAGCTGCGTCAGCTATGTGTTTCAGCTATGTGTCAGCCCTGTGTCAGCTATTTGTTTCCGTAGTTATAAGCGGAGAGATATTAGAAAGCGGATGGTGAAAGCAAGATGATGAGACGCTGCGTTACGCCAGAAAAATTCGGAACGTTTTGACGGCAAAATGTTGCACCAGACTGATTGGTCGTCTGTTTGATGTTGCATCTTTCGAAGTTTTACTGTGCGGTCACCTTGACAAAGTGGTCTACCGGAACAGGCTGTCTACGTTGAAGCAGCTAAGATCAAACAGTATCTGCCAATGTCGTCGGACAGCACTAAAGGTACGTTTAAACGCTACAATGGAATGTGGCGTTGCAAGTACAGTGGTGATCATCTTACTGGTCGATAATCTCATGTATTTCCTGTGAGCTCCATAATCTGTTAGCTTCATGTCCAGAATAAATTACTTTATTGCTGCTTCGAAGTTTAGAGCATTGTTGTCAAAGTGCTAAAGTAAATTACAGTTATAATCTATGAGCCGATTAGATGAGCAAGGGATCGTAAAGGCGTGCAAACGGGGATTCTCTGGATGGGTCATATTTGATGACATATCGAAGTAATGCTGACCATGGTAACAAAATTAGTAAAAATTCGCCTCATTACGACGATGTGAAAGGACTTGGAGGCTGCTTGTGTGTCATATTTGCAAAATAGGTAAAAGATCATTCCTTATATTCTGACGCAAATTAACGTCCTCGCTGAAGTCGGTGTTATCCCAATATTTCAACAGTGGTGCTCCCGCATCAGTCAGTTTGATATGAGTGAACCCACATAGGTGGATGATCGTTCGAAAAGCTGAAATAAAGATGACTTGGTGACTGAGTCACATCATAATCCTATTCAGCACGAGGCCGGTCGTTTGCACAGCCTTGATAACATCATTCCCCACTTGCAGATTCGATCGGTGTAAATGAGATGCTGCTCTTCGTTTCTGTGTCCTATGGCGCCACGTGGCGTATGATGATGCACAGAGGATGAAGACATTCTTCACATTTTGCGCCACCAAGTAAATTACACTAAAACAAACCTTTCATAATTCAGTGAAGCGGGTCAACAATCGCTCGGATTCTGCCCTTTGGTTAGATACTCCAACCAATTTGTTCTTCGAAATGAGCAAAAATGCTTACAGTTTCCTGGAGAAGATTAAAACGGTACATCTCAAATTAATAAAATAATCCGTTGTGGTTCAGTCCATAATTTCTTCCGGAACTGTAAATTAGCAGGTTGTTTGATTCAAACTCCATTCAAGCGTTCGCACCTTCAAGCGTAAGTTCTAAACATTCTAGTTCAATCGGAGTGCTAGCAGTTTGCCGTCGAGTTCTAACTACTTCCAGAGGCCACCGATTAGCAACACCTCATCTGGTGCCAATTTTAGATAAATTTCACACTTGATACGTGACCGCGCGCACTCACCACCAGGTCAGATCGACCTGGTGGTCTATCTATATCATTTTCCAAATAGAGTCAAATGTACCGTGCACCGATGGTTGACTGATGGTTGCACTGATGTGCTGTCGGATCAGAGGGATGGGAGAAATGTGCTCATAACCTGAAATCGACCGTCACGCCCCTGCATATAGGAAGGGAAGAAGAATCTACCTAATTGCGTCAGACAGCGGTTAACCGATTCCGGCTACTTAATTCAACGTGCAAATTGAGTGATGGGAAATCTGGACGAAATGGTCGAGTATCTTAAGTGCCCTGGATACACATCAGGCTAGACCGTGGATAAACATTATTCGTATACATTATCTGGTTTATGTATATTTATAGATCATAATTATTCTTTCCCCCACACACTGTAAAATGCCACCACAGCAGTATGAGTCGGTCAGTTGTTGTAGACGGTTTCACAATGTAACTAACGTATGACAGTCAGACGTCTTGTAACCAATGCCCGGAAATTGCCATGTCATTTATCCTGTACTATTCGAGGTATGATGTAGAATGGTAAAAGTCTGAGTTCACACCTGCTTATCCATAAAGAGTAGATCCTGGTTCGTCTGCACGCTTTTAGGTAGCTCACCGAGCTGTTTTAATTAAAGATTTGTTCATTTCACAGGGTTAGCTGACTTGATGCACAGAACCAGCCAAACACCAATTTTCTGAGGCGCCTTTTGCTTACCTGGCTTACAATCGGTCGCAAATTTATGTTTCACGGAGTTTAAGTTCCGCCCACTGTGGCGCAGACATGGTAAGGAAGTTATGTACTGTAATGCACTTTCCGTGCTGGCACTGAGGAAACGGGAATATATCTCCTGACCACAAGCACATGTTCTGAACGGTGCGCGTGACAAACTCTCACCAGAAAAACTCCAGCAACTTTTTGTTTGCAACCCACAAAGAATACTCCATCATAAATCACCATGCTGCATTTTTTCGGTTAAAATTTGCACCAAAATAGGTAATCACTTTTCCTGCTTATCAAAGCGTCACATATATGAATATCTGCGTAAGATTAATTATTTGACAGGAGAGTCGGGGGAAATTCTCAAGACACTTACTGATCAAGAGCCATCGAACTCTAGGGTTATTCCTTTCCTCCAATTTTAAATGTGTTCTTTTTTAGGAGTGAATGTGTCTTTTTAATGTACAACAGTCGTTTCTGCGAATTTTCATGTTTTTTCCTCACCAGATCGATCACTCCAGAATTAAGAAAAAATTTCATCTGGCTTCAACCCAAGATTGCACACCGTCTATCTGTTCATGACGGATTCCAATTTGGTTGTAATAGTCGTGGTGCACGCGTCAACACCACCAAGTAAGAGCTGGTGGCTAGTTGCATGGTTTATGTATATTTATAGATCATAATTATTCTTTCCCCCACACACTGTAAAATGCCACCACAGCAGTATGAGTCGGTCAGTTGTTGTAGACGGTTTCACAATGTAACTAACGTATGACAGTCAGACGTCTTGTAACCAATGCCCGGAAATTGCCATGTCATTTATCCTGTACTATTCGAGGTATGATGTAGAATGGTAAAAGTCTGAGTTCACACCTGCTTATCCATAAAGAGTAGATCCTGGTTCGTCTGCACGCTTTTAGGTAGCTCACCGAGCTGTTTTAATTAAAGATTTGTTCATTTCACAGGGTTAGCTGACTTGATGCACAGAACCAGCCAAACACCAATTTTCTGAGGCGCCTTTTGCTTACCTGGCTTACAATCGGTCGCAAATTTATGTTTCACGGAGTTTAAGTTCCGCCCACTGTGGCGCAGACATGGTAAGGAAGTTATGTACTGTAATGCACTTTCCGTGCTGGCACTGAGGAAACGGGAATATATCTCCTGACCACAAGCACATGTTCTGAACGGTGCGCGTGACAAACTCTCACCAGAAAAACTCCAGCAACTTTTTGTTTGCAACCCACAAAGAATACTCCATCATAAATCACCATGCTGCATTTTTTCGGTTAAAATTTGCACCAAAATAGGTAATCACTTTTCCTGCTTATCAAAGCGTCACATATATGAATATCTGCGTAAGATTAATTATTTGACAGGAGAGTCGGGGGAAATTCTCAAGACACTTACTGATCAAGAGCCATCGAACTCTAGGGTTATTCCTTTCCTCCAATTTTAAATGTGTTCTTTTTTAGGAGTGAATGTGTCTTTTTAATGTACAACAGTCGTTTCTGCGAATTTTCATGTTTTTTCCTCACCAGATCGATCACTCCAGAATTAAGAAAAAATTTCATCTGGCTTCAACCCAAGATTGCACACCGTCTATCTGTTCATGACGGATTCCAATTTGGTTGTAATAGTCGTGGTGCACGCGTCAACACCACCAAGTAAGAGCTGGTGGCTAGTTGCAGCGACAGTCTGCACAACAGCGTTGACGGTCGCAAATTTGCAAAAGTTAGTCACGTCGCCTTCTTTGAATCAGTAGCTTGTATTTCCAGAGCGAGTGGTCCCCCGGATATTCATCCGAGGTATCCGGCTTCGATGCAACCTAACTAAGGGGCGAATTAGAAGCATTCGACTGGTCATGGTAGACAGACGATTTTCTGTCATAGAAAATGCGGCCAACCGGAGAGTTCGGTGCGTACTTTGCAGTCCTGCTAGATCACGCATGATGCTATGCTCGCGAAAGGTCTCAGTTGCCTGGGATACACCGTCTTTTAGGAGTTGAGAGCACCTACATCGACGTCTCTCATCAAGGCTGCCTAATAGCTGTTCGGGAACGCCGAGCAACTGTAACAGACGTCAGCATAACCTCGGACGGGCTTGGCGTGACTGTGTGACATGACCAGAAGTAGAATGATGGTGTTGATGAATATTCTCTAACCACTATCTCAGCCCTACATATGGTTGACTGTGATGTCAACTTATTGGTCCACAAACCGATGATCACTTCTTGTCGAGGGAGATTCTTCTGTCAGTCCACCAAGGCTGTTATGGGGCTGCTGCTTCCAAAACTCACAATCATCGAATGTGTCTGCTTGCCATCCTGGGTTCTTTGCGTACTTGCGACACTTTTATGAGTGGTGAGTGACTTTAAGTGTGCATTCTTGACGTTGACTCCTACAAGAGACCCAGTATGATGGACACTATGCCTGATTTGAGAGTCTGGACTGTTCTAACGTCGTGCCTCGACGAGCATTCGGCATTGTTTTTCCTTTCTCTGGTTGTTGATATTTACAGTCGTGGTTCCATAACAAACATTAGTACATAGGATGGGATTCATCTTATCTGACTGAAAATGTTGGTGGTACGACTTCTCGCTTTTTATCTGATATTATGTACCCCTCTATATCCATCGCTTGCATTTACTTTATGTTTGAGACCATGCTCTTAAACAATAAAAATATTCAGTTGGTACAATTAGTGTTTCAAGTGGTTATCAGTAACCCTTCGTTTCGTATGCGTTTTTTGTCTGCAAATTCATTTCCTGTCTCAGCCAATTCTGATTTTAGTAAACGTCTTCTTAGAAATGAAGTTGTTGCTAAGCCTTCAAGGCTAATGCGGACAGCCGAGTGCTGACTCAAGTGATATCCAAAAATGGCATAATATGGTGTAAGGCAATTTCAATTTTACTTTCATGTCTGTTGCAGTAGTGTGACCCAAATCACGGTGAATATTCATATTTCCAGAACCAAAAACCGATGGGGCATTCCAAATCCGTCTTGAACTTGAAGCTAAGTTGTTATGCCATCCGAACACACATTAATTTTTGTTTACAGCATACATAACTAATAAAGTGGCGTCATGCAATTATATATAATATAAATAATGCACAGTATATTTAGTGTACATCACTGTACACATTGATACATGTTACAATGATCCCAGAGTAGAAGTTGGATCGTGCTGTTGACAAAAACATCTCAACTTGGGAAATTGAAGGTTTCCCTAATTCAACACAGAACCATAATTGCATCTCTGGCTGTTCATTCACTGTCGGTTCGTACATCGGTTTCCGTCAAAACCGACAAAGCATGCAGACAAACGTATCTCTTGGATAATTTCGCCAAAAGACGCGTCTGAAAATAACTGACCCAAAAGGTTGAGAAAGGAGACATCAAAGTGCGAGACAAGGTAGACTTTGTCGTCGAAATGGTGGTGGGTGGTTATATTTTAGCTTGTTTTCCTCGTGTCTGTTCCCAATAGGTTAGCTCTGGCACTATTACTAATTATCACTTAGTAGATACCATGGCATTTTAGCTGTAGAACCTGTAGTACTTCTGAACGTGTGTTACGGGATCATACTCACGTAAATCACTGAATAGTGGAACTGATCTCAGTATGAGGCTTTGGATTCTGTTTTATTATAAACCAGATTGTTGATGTCTACTTGCTGCACTAAAATACAGCGCGATTGGATAGGCATATTTTGCAGGTTGCTGTTAAAATCCGGCTCCTTAATTGACCGGACATTCCATACAAAAGGTCAGTAAGGATTTGAGCATACAGTAAGGAAATTTTGTAATTTTCAATTAAGACTTCTTCTTGTTAGTGAGACTAGTCTGTGGTGAAAAGCCAATAACCGCTGCACAACTGTATCATTCTTATTGGAACCCTCAACATTGCACCCCCCATGAAACTTGGATAGTTTCAAACCTGCGATCATCTTGCCTGTCGTTGAAGACTTAGCTATAAGGGGTTGATCAGCAAGGCGAGCAGCCCTCAGACACTTATCTTTCATACAAAGAGCACACCAAGTGGTCATACATCGACTGACTCCTGGCGCGATAGCTTCTCAGGCGGTAGTTTCACACTTCTGGTAGAGTTAAGCTTCTTTTGAGCCACTTTTAGAGTAACCGCTTTCTGAGGATATTTTATAGTTTTCAGCTCGAGTGGAAAAATGATATAGAACCAACTAGCAGGTCTGGGTGGGCAGCAAATATTCGAGTGAATTCGTTGTTTACCGGGAAACACTCGTATCTTGGTTAAAACGTCAATTTGCACCACAATTCTGCTAGGCTACTGTTTGAAATTTCAGATGATTTATCTTCTTTGAATGGTAGCATCGTATCATCTTATCCACTATAGTGTAAATTTACTCGGTGTTTTTCCTCACCGATGTTTTTTGGATCACGGTTCTTGATTTCCTGCAATGTTCCGTTTGACGGATTAAGTTCTTTCAGTGTATCCCCGGGAACAAATTGTCTCGTTCCCATGGGCTGACTGAGGGCTTTTGGATCACGGTTCTTGATTTCCTGCAATGTTCCGTTTGACGGATTAAGTTCTTTCAGTGTATCCCCGGGAACAAATTGTCTCGTTCCCATGGGCTAGACTGAGGGCTTTTGAACACCGAGGTGCGAAGGTGTGAGGACTAGTGTACTAACCATTCCATGTAATTTGGTGACATATGCAGCGTTGAAGTTGTACCATCTGAGCACTCTTGTAGCTATACGATAGTCTTCTCTTTCTGCTATGAACTGCATTTTCTCAACAAAACCGACTTATACCAACTTGCGCCGTATTGATATTACTATTTATATTTTGCAATCACAGACACTGCACCCATGTGATGCTCACTGTGTTCTGTAACAGTGTGAATTTGGACGGATTGCAGTATGACCATCCAATGGCGTATAAGTAATAAGCCTAAAGGAAGTGTCTGTTCATTTTTTCTCTTCACTCTCCCTGCTCAGGAAATTGGAACGCGATGTTGAAACTCCGGCCATGAAGGCCAACCAGAAATATTCAATTTGAAACATTGTGCTGGATGACGATAATGACGATGAATACTGAAGATGACGATGACCAAAACTCACCAAAGTTGATATTATTTTTGCCAAATCCGTGCATCACATGAGATATCACTTTTTCTTGACAACCATAAACAATGAAGATACAGTGAAATCGTTTGGTAGACCAAAGCTGAATAGAAGGGTGAGTACAAGCGGCAGTCCAAAGCAAAGTGGCTCAAACGATTATGTAATGAGGCTCTGCATAAATGGCACCGCAAACTTTCCATACTGAAACAAACTTCCAGATAACTGAAAAAGATTACAGTTTATTACCTAACTCTTTCAGCACTTCCTCACCTAATCTTATCTGAGCTGGAAAGCTTCTGGATGAAGTGCAAAAACACTAAATCCTTAAATAATGTAGACACATTTAGCTTCTGACCTGTAGGATGTTTCGCATTTTACTCTAACATTGTGTAAAAATTGGTGGCGTTGCTAAAATTTTTTATTGATTCTTCTTGTAAGTGCTATTCTTGCATGTTTTATCTAGTTATGAATGCTTGGTTTCTGAACCTGCGTCCGTCTAAAAACACAGTAGAGGTGGGCGTTACTTAGCTTCCCTATCCCAAGCCTTGAGAATAGTTACCTATGACTGTGGCTTTGGTTTAATTTATTATGACTTTTTCAACGTGATTGAGTACCAACATCTACTGTCGTGTAGAAAAACTTGGTTTTTTGCTTAGACGTCATGCACTACTCATAAGATTGCATAAATTCTTCTGCAGCTCACGACTGGTCTGGCCTCTTTTGGGACTCATCAGTTAGGCTAAATTCCCGAGTTTCCCTCAATCTTATGTTCTTAGCCCGGTTGTGAGCGCGGCCAGATTCGTCCCAACCTGGAATCGAACCACCTCTGCGAAGACTTATGCCACTGAAGCACCAGAATGTCAAATCGCTGAATCAACACAGCCCGAAAAGTACTCTTTGATATGTTATTTCGGTTTGATAAGGTTCTACTCCTTCCCAGTTTGATGATGTAAATTATTCACTCTCTATAAGGTAACTACCAAAACTAGGTCAGGTTTTTTGAAACTTGAGACCCAGTAGAGGCACCTGCGTTCATTACTTTATCGTCTGTATACCCAACTCAAGCCCAAGCCACACCTGATATTCTAGAACATGCATCTGACCTAATATACAATGTATGGGCCGCGACTTCACCGTTTCTGTACGCAACAGACTAGTTCCTGTGTTTGTTCTCAGGTTCTTCAATCTAAATGTGTAAATTTTGCAGCGATTCGATTTCATTTGTTTGAATGCACTACACTCTGTTGATACATACCACAGGCTGCGAAAAAACCTGACAGCGAAACTATGTGTCAAAAAAGTGAATGTTGCGATTGTGGGAGGTACTTTCTTCAAAACCTCATCTAAATACAAGGGGTTCTGTCATCTAAGTAAAGATGTTCGGACGCACAGCGATTAGTGTAGTAGACGGCATTGCAGGGTACTCAGTGCATTCGCTCGGTTCGCAGATATCCAATCAAAAACAATGCCCAAATGGAACAAAATTTTCCTAATCAGAGGTTTAATCTACTGACAACCGTAAGAGAATTCGCTGGATGGACATGTGCGAGAAACCGTTTAGGCTCTTCGAACAACGTAATTGTCGTCATCTTGTTGTATGTTAGGTGAGGAAGCCCAACGTGAGGTTTTCGGGGCAAATACATGAAATCCACTGTGATAAAAGTAATGCATATTAAAATGATTCAATCATCAGTCGATCACCATTGTCTGTGTGAATAATCACGGTTAGTTATCATAAAGTGGCTGTTACCCTCGCCTAAAATTCTTGGCAAAGCTGGTTGTATACCCCAGAAAAGATGAGAATGAAAAAATACTGACAGATGAATCTTGCATAAGCGTGCGTACTTGTAGATCAGCTACAATGGTGATCCAGATATTATGGTATGCCTTTGAAAACGACTGATTGTAGACAATGTGCGAGCGCACTACTGATTAGTTCTAAGTATGCGTGTGCGTTTTACCAATGCGGTTGCAGCACGTACAAATTAATTAAGTTAGTTGCTTGTTAAGCCTACCTAGACCGCGTACGTGATCCCCAATCTGACGTGTACATGTCAGTTACAAGGGCAATAATCCTTCCCCTGTTTGTCGTACGTGGCCAGTTACGGCAAAAAGTAGTCCACTGTGGAAAAATATAACCCAAAACGTCGCGTTTTCCCATCGGCGATATTTGTAAACGTTCCTTCCAGAACTATTGACCGCAAACTTTCCCAACCGTTTTATGGATGTAGATATGCTTTACGGTGGCATAATTCCCAGCATCATTGCTGCATAATTAGGCAGGCTAATTAAACGACCGCTTAGAAAAGATTGACGTTCTTGAGAGTAAATATAACGTCCGAAATTTCAATTTTGGGAATGACATCCCTTGTAGGCTTATTGGACAGAAATGTGGGTGCACCATGATACAACCTGTGATTATCGGTATTTTCTCGTCAGTCGAAATTCGCCGCTTGTGTGTTTTAGGGAAAACCTCCGGAAAATTCCTATGCCGCCAGACATGGATACAACTCATTGTTCAAAAAGCGCACTTATTCGGTGATCAGCTTATGAATGAACTTGACTCAATATTATCGCTTCTTTTCCCCTCAGATAATTTGCCTTTTGATTAAACTCGTGCGATGTCCGATGGCAACTAAATTCGGTTGAAAGACTCAGATTTTAATGAAAATTTCTGCTCTTCCAAAAAAATCTCTGTCCTTGCGAGGTAAATGTCTGGATCCGTTGTGTGTCTGGATCCTTAGACAGAACGGATGAATCGGAAAACTTGCTAATGGAACTGTTGCAGTTCGGCACAAAATTCTTTTTTGAACTCATTACAACTTCACCAAACTCAGGATGTGCCCTTTCAGTAGTTTCCTGTTTACATTATATAGAAGAGAAATCTGCCGCAGTGGTTTTTCCACGAGAACAGAGTTGACGAGTTACTTGGCAATGAAAGACAATGTATGCCATTTTTCGTCGTTGGAAGTGGGATTCAGCCTTTAGAGTGAGTACATTTTGAGGCGTTCGTCTGAGCGCAAGACTTATTTGCTAGCGTGCACTACCCATTGTTTATACCGTCCAGTTACCCAGTCTATGGTGCAATGGATGTTCGTTTACTCCACTGAAGCTCTGACTTGTCGGACATTAAAGAGTTTGCCATCAAACGGAATCATATTAAGCTCATCTTATGTAAGGTTCTCAAAAGTTAACTCCTTCGAAATATCAAGTTTCTCAAAAAGGGGACTGATCTCACTCGATCCATTAAGGGATGCCATCGAAGCAGCTGTAAACCTTTTGTCAGCGTGAGATTTATTCTCACCAACTTCCGCAAAAATAATGAAAACTGGGAGAGAAATCGGAAAACTTGTTATGAAGGCTACTGAGCATGATTTTCAGGATATCAGGATAGTTAACCACTTTCGTGTTGCGTGCTAAGATCACTCTCTTATGTTAGGACTTTTGGAGCCGTTAATCCCGCCACCACCTCTCCACAGGTCGTTGGGATAAAGTCCTCATATAGGCTTATTTACTGTGCTTTTATAATATTACTCATTGTTTACACACCATGCTTGATAGCTTTTTTATTAAGCCACAAACTTTCAGCCCCCTGACCGACCATTACAGATAACTTCCACTAAGAAAGATGCCTTCCTTGAAAAGGTGGTTTGGACAACATAAAACTGCGTTGAAATCACTGAAGTTAATGGTGTAAGGTAACATACAGTTGATTGAGATCCTGAGGCTGGCGATTATTTATTGCGCTTCGTCCTCAATCATAGGAACGAAAAAAGAAAAATAATTTTTAAGGATATCTGTTTCTTGTCTGTCTTGTGATCGGTTAACATACAATCGCAAGGCTTGATTTGTTTGCTGGCACACGATGAGACGTGACAGACCTAGGTTAATTGACAATCCTCATATACACAATTTTTAAAAATCAATATATAATTGTACTAGAACGCTAAGAATACGTGCTTCACCCGTTAGTCAAACTTTCCAGTTGCATTAATATACAAAATGCATTCTTTCAACAAAATGTTTAAATTCCGGTCCCCACAAATATTCGTATCAAATGACTTCTTTCCTGAAGGTTGTATTCCCAAGTTTAATCATCTGACAGCGTGACTGTGCCCCAACGTGGCAAGAGTGGATATGGATAAAATTTATCTAAAAATGGAAGCTTTTATTATTCACAGTGAAGCTGAACTGCAAGCATTGTTTAATTTGAGATGGTAGAGAGAGACACTCCTTTGGCATTATGCATTTTAAAGCACACGCAGAATGCTTTCAGTAGACCACCAAAAAGATAGGAGGTTCGATAGATGTATCTTAAAAAACGCTATCTAGTTCCTAATTAAAAGCGATTATAGTTTCTGCACCAGTCCAGGAAAACTGGAATCTACGGCCTTACGGTTATCCAAAAATCCTGTATAGTAACGGCATCTTTCTGGACACAACATTCAGGCAAGCCGTCGCATTTAGCAGAACATATTTGAAGGAGACGCTTCAAGTCCTTAAACTCGGTAAATATCACTGCAAACGATTATGTAAAAGACTAGGGCCTATTGGGATAAGAAACAATGCACTTACCACCTGCAGCTGGGAAAGGTAAAACCTTCCTGTTCTGAGGGTTGAAGTTCCATTAATAAAGTAGTATTTGAAAACATCTTTCAAGCCTTTACTGGGAAGACAAAGTATTCCGAGCACCTCGAAACGAAAGTATGTTGCCACGTTAAATGACCAGTGAGTCTCCGAACTCGGGTCGTCTGAACGGAAGTCCGTGGCGTTTATGCTGTTACCCGCACCTCAGTTATATGGAATAAGTGTACATACGAAATTGTCATTATAAAAATGGCTTGGGTAGTTATACAATGACTGTATGGATGCACATATCAGTGTATCATATTTTAGATGTCAGAGGACAGCTAACTTGCCCATATGGTCTTACCAATGGGCAATAATTTTCTAGCCTGTAAAATCTGTTGGGATAATACCCTGCATAAAATCTACTAAACCGTTTGTTATTAAAATGGTTGTGTAATGTTTTGATGACTTCTAACTGACAGTAAAGTGTACCCACATTTCACAGTACCACGCGGAGCTGTATTGCTTCATGAGAAATATGCTTCTGTCCACGAATGTTCCGGGAGTGTGACATTTTTGATCCAGTAAAGTCTTGAAATCATGCACTTTGGAGACCGGTTGCTCAGGAATAACTCAGGACTCAAAACTGATCACTTTCGTGATCTCGTTTAGGTTGCTTTGTGCACCTTAAATTCCTTAAAACCAGTCCGATAGCTATAAAATATGCATACCTGGCAGATTAATATATGATTGTTGCGATAAGAAAAAGGTTGCTTTCGCAGCTCATAGGGAATTTAAGCAGAAGTTGCACTGGGCTACATTCTGATGGGTGGCACTCATGAAGAAATACTCTGTACGATATTTATTTAAGCCAAGGTCTGTTTGCCATTTATTGAGTTTCCCGCGTTAAGTTGGCACGGTTTAAAAAGACCATAAACGAGAGATTAAACTGAGTTATATTCGAGTCTCTCGCAAAACCAAGTTTGTTTGCATCTGAGTGTATTTCGCTAGGTACAGTTTACCCTTCTGTCAGTCAACCGTGTGGCCAGCTTTGTCGATCGATAGCCACTTGAATTATTTTCAACAAAAGCTATGATAGATATCTGGACGGTTAATCAATATGAAAATCCCCCAACGCGCAACATTTTCCTTTGAATAGACATTTAAAATCGTCAAATGATTTAGTTACTAACTAACTTGCACAGAACTGATCTGAAGGCTCCTTGTGTTACATTACTAGCCGTCCCTGAGAGGGATACGTTTTGCAAGTAGCATCATCATGATCGACAGCATGACATCAGTGTTCAACACCAAATCTTCACTACCGTGAAACCATGACTTATTTGAAAGCCTTATTGTAAAGAAAAGAATAAAGGTGGACGGGGGAGGGACTTAGTGCTAACTTAACACAATCA